TACTTGCATTCACAGGGACACCAAAGACTATCCGACGGTCGAATTGAGCATCTCTACAGAACAGGGGACCTACCGCTCAAAGGTACGAGTGGTTGAGCAGTTGCCATACCCTGTCATACTGGGACGAGACTGTCCCCATTTCCTCCAGATTTGGAACACGATCCAATCAGCTAGGCCAAGACCAATCCCCTGGCCGGAAGACAGTGGTGATGCCCCTGCTGACGACCCTGATGAGACGGACCCACAAGAAAGCGGAAATGAACTTGGAGTTGAGTTTGGAAATATGGAACTACCAAACTGGGAACCCCCAGAACGTTGGGGTAAGTTTGGGACGGCCCAACTAGAAGATGGGAACTTGAGACATGCGTGGGAACATGTAAGGAAAATTGAAGGGGAGTGGTGTACTGATCCTAACACAGTGAGTTACCCATATTTTATGACGAAGAATAATATCCTTTATCAAGTGCAGCAGAAGGGACAGGAAGAAGTGGAACAACTCCTTATTCCCCGGCCTTACCAGATGAAACTCCTCAACTTGGCCCATAGCCACCTCCTGGGTAGGCACCTGGGGGTAAAGAAGACATCCGAGAGACTCCTCTCTAGGTTCTTTTGGCCAGGGATCTATAAGGCCATCGAGAAGTACTGTCAGGAATGCCCCGAGTGTCAGAAAAGTGCACCACAACCTTATTATAGGAACCCTTTGATTCCCCTCCCAATTATTGAAACCCCCTTCGAACGGATTGGGATGGATTTGGTGGGGCCCCTGATCAGAACCACCAAGGGTCACCAATATATTCTAGTAATATTAGACTATGCTACCAGGTACCCCGAAGCCATTCCGTTGAGAGCTGCCACCACCAAAAACATAGCTAGGGAGCTAGTACAACTGTTTGCTCGAGTCGGAATTCCTAAAGAGATCCTAACTGATCAAGGAACACCTTTTATGTCGAAAGTCATGCGAGACTTATGTAAGCTGCTGGGTATACAGCAGATCCGAACCTCTGTTTATCACCCTCAAACCGATGGTCTAGTAGAACGTTTTAATAAGACCCTGAAAAGCATACTTAGGAAGACGATGCAAAAGGATGGAAAAAATTGGGATCAGCTGCTCCCGTATCTCATGTTTGCGGTTCGAGGAGTACCGCAGGCTTCGACTGGATTTTCCCCCTTTGAATTATTATACTCTCGGAAACCACGGGGCCTATTGGACGTGGTCAAAGAATCGTGGGAACATCAACCTTCCCCTCTACAAACTATCATTGAGCATGTGGAACAGATGAGAGAAAGAATAAATGTTATTGTTCTCTTAGTGAAAGAAAACCTGGAGAAAGCCCAAGCTCAACAACAACAAATTTATAATAGGGGAGCAGTTGCGAGGGAATTTCAGATTGGGGACAGAGTACTGGTGCTAGTTCCAACCCCAGAGTGTAAATTCTTGGCATCCTGGCAGGGACCTTATGAAGTGGTGGAAAAGGTAGGGCCAGTCAACTATAAGGTCAAGCAACATGACAGAAGACGGCAGCATCAAATCTACCACGTCAATTTGCTGAAAAAATGGCATGGCTCCGAAGTTCTGCTCACCCACTTTTCCCCAGACCCTCTGGAAGAAGAGACAGGTGCAATAGCCGTGGGAGACCTGGCTCCGGCACAAAAACAGGAACTACAAGAATTCCTGTCCCAAAACAAAGATGTTTTTTCCCGGACACCTGGTCGAACCCACCTTATACAACATAAGATCATCACGGAACCGGGGAAAAAGGTAAGGCTACCCCCGTATCGAGTACCAGAAGCCAAAAGGAAACTGATTAAAGAAGAGGTGGGTAAAATGCTGAAGATGGGAATAATCGAGGAATCCCATAGTGAGTGGGCTAGCCCGATAGTTCTGATCCCCAAGCCGGATGGAACGATCCGATTTTGCAACAATTTCAAAAGATTAAATGAGATCTCGCGGTTTGATGCATACCCCATGCCCCGTATAGATGAACTAATCGAGCGATTAGGTAACGCTCGATACATCAGCACCCTTGATCTTACGAAGGGATATTGGCAAGTGCCGCTGGCCAAAGAAGATAAAGCCAAAACCGCTTTTGCCACACCTGAAGGACTATATTAGTATAAGGTCCTACCCTTCTGTTTGCATGGCGCTCCCGCAACATTCCAAAGATTGATGGACTGAATTCTGAGACCGTATCGGGATTTTGCAGCCGCCTACTTGGATGACGTTGTAATCCATAGCATGACCTGGGAACAACATCTATATCACCTGGAAGCAGTGACTGGAGCGTTGCGAGCAGCAGGATTAACGGCTAACCCAAATAAATGTTGTCTGGGGGCTAGGGAAGCCAATTACCTGGGTTATACGATCGGGAGAGGATTGATCATGCCCCAAGATCAGAAAGTACAATTAATCAAGAACTGGCCCAAACCAGCTACCAAGAAGCAAATTCGAACGTTTGTGGGACTGGCAAGTTACTATCGGCGTTTCATCCCAGGGTTTGCAGCCATGGCCGCCCCTCTACACGATCTGACGAAGATGAGCTGTCCGGAAAAAATAAAATGGCCCGACGTGAAGAGAGGGCTTTCCAAGACTTAAAAGCAGCTCTCACTTTTCAACCCGTCTTACAGGTACCAGACTTCAGTAAGCCTTTCATGGTACAAACTGATGCTTCAGACACTGGGATTGGAGCCATTCTGTCGCAGGAGATTGAAGGACTGGAGCATCCTATTCTGTATATCAGCCGTAAGTTGAATCCGGCCGAAAAACACTATTCCAAGATAGAGAAAGAATGTCTAGCAATCAAATGGGCCCTAGACTATTTGAAGTATTATTTATTGGGAAGACAATTTATATTATACACAGATCATGCACCATTAACATGGATGTTACAAAATATGGATAAAAACGATAGAATTACCCGGTGGGGTCTTAGTCTGCAAAGATTTCAATTTCAGATGGTCTATAGACCTGGAAGGAAACAAAGAAATGTAGACGCCCTCTCCCGAATGCACTGTTTGTTTTTTTCTAGATCGCCCGAGGTCGGGGCTGATCTCAGGGGGAGGGAATGTAAGAAAACACGGGGAAGGGTCATCTCTAACAGGTACTTCCGAAGCAAAACGCTGAAAATGCTAGAGATGGACCTTAGCGAGATGGCGGATGAAAAGAATCAGCTGACCAGTAGATGGAAAGGGTCTACCTTAAGAGACAACGAGACACAGCTGAGACGCATCAGGAACCGGGATATAAGTGGCCCGGAGGCAGTGAACCTCGGTAAGTTGAATGCGTTTTGGAGGAAAAGAGTGGAAAGAGGTGGATGTTAAGGATCGGGCTAACGAACGACTGCACGGGGAAAGGTTTATGATTTTGGATTACGGACACTGGTTTAGGATACATCGCGGATTGTCTTTATTACAAACTTTTGGAACTCGGAACGAATCAGGACTAAGGGAACGGATTACGGACTGTATTAGGAAGACAGTTGTTGGAAGAAACGCCACGGATCGGAGGACAGTAAAGTGTGGTGTAAGTACGACCTTCGTTTACATAAACTATTCCCCCGGAGACACCACACCTCCTACATTGTATTTTAGAACAGAGATGTCCTGTCCTGGTCCTGGTCACACCAGTGTCTGCTGGTGAGCTCCCTTATCCTTGATTGAGTCCTGTATTGAGCAAATAATTTAATCATTTAATTCTGCTTTTATTTTTTAATCACTTGCATATTTTAGAATAAGTTCCAATCTAAAGAAAGATGTATTAAAGAAATGTACTGTACTTGAGTGGCAGGTAAACTTTGAGGCACATGAGACATGTCGTATGAGTTCTTTATATTCTCTGGCACAGCTTTGGTGATAGAGCAATAATAGTGTAAAAATTTGGACAAATATTAACACAAATTAATATTAACACAAATTATGACAACTACAGTACACAATCCATACAACACACAATGTTACGCAATAGCATATGCAGTATTCAAATCAATGTGCTTCAGAGGCCTGCACCCTGCACACCCAAAAACTACACCTGTAATCTGAACCATTGCAATTCCACATAGAAAAAATAAACTAATACGACCTTCTTACAACATGTAGGATGTGCCCGAAAGTGAAAGGAAATCACTTTTGGGCACATCCTACATGTTGTAAGAACAAAAATATTATCTTCTAGTTGGTGTTGCATTTCTAGAAGAGAATATCTTTGTCTACATATTCCACAATGCAGGGAATTTACCCAAATAAATAGTACAGAACACTTGCTAAAATAAGATTGAGAATATTTAGCTTGAACCTGGTCTCCAAGACTGATTAGATTAGATTGGATTGGCAGAATTCAGCAACTGAAAAAGATGACAAATCTATTGAAACAAATAATCATGATCAATAGAATGGTTGGGTAATGGAATGGTTATCCCCACATAAGGAAAGGGAATGCACTCCAATATGTAGCAACTGGTTTGGGAGGACAATTCACACTTGAGCTACAGCTGGAAACTTTCTGATTCTATTAGATATCACAGTCTATATTCTATACTTGTAGAATTTGAGCATAGAGGAATCATTAAATTATCCCTCCTGAACTTTTCTATCATTAAATATTAAATATTAGGAAAGATATTGCTTATTATGCAAATAATTACAATTAATTGGTTAATTAAATAACGGAGTTCTGCTGGAAGATTATGGACTATGAAAACCTGATTAAGATCTTATAAAATAAGATATACTGTATGCAGATCAGCTCAAAAAGAAGCCACAGAGAGGGCTGTTTGTGTCATTTATTTTCATTTGTTTAACACAATATTAAATTGTAAATAAGACAATTTATAAAATCTCTTGCTGCATTTCTTACCAAAAGAAGTGCTCCATGGTCAGAAGATAAGAGGGTTTTCTTGTCCTTTAGGTCCTCATAAAAATGTGTGTAAGCTTTGTACGGGAGTAGTAAAACAAGGGTTAACTGTTTTTGGAAAAAGCATTAAAACATAACAATGAGGAAAGCTTGGTTCATTTTGGTAGTCTTTTATTTATTTTTTCATATTTTATTTTGTATTTTCCAGCTGGTAATGATCTTGTAGACTACTGTTTATCCACTGCCAGCTGTATACAGAAGCATTTCCTGCTTAATGTTGAAAAATAAGAACATGTTATAGACAAGAAGAGACCATTCAGCAATATGTATTAAATGGATTTTGGCATATTGGTCCTTAAGACATCTATAACTAGAAAATAATTTAATGACTGCAATTGCAAAGTGACCACCTTCTCTCATTTATCGTCATTTGTACATTTACAGCATAGACTCATACAATTTTGCATTCACAATACTTGAATTAATAAATGAATAAAGCATTTTATTATTAAATATGGCAGTGGACTTTTGTTTGCAATAAACAGACAACAAATACCAACATGCAACTTTTCTGTGAATGTCTCTGATTGGTGAGGACTATGACGGCTTCTTTTAAAAAATACCTTTTTGATCAAAATCAGAAGACTTCATGAAAAAATACTTTCTCCATATCCAGCTCATGGAAAACTCTTAAATGATTTTAAAAAAGGCAATAATTAATATGGAAAAATAACCCAACCCCTTCCTAAACAACCCTCCCTACAAATTGGTCCAGAGAGTCCCTCTCCCTTATAAAGAATCCTTTCTTCGTTGGTTCAGATCACGTTTCATTTTGCTAAAAAAAGAAAACAAGAAAAAAGGCTATGAAATAAAATAAAATTTAAATAGCACAGCCACAAATATTTTAAGGTTTTTTACTTTCTGGAATATGCACATAAATGTTATAATGAGGAAACAATTGCAAATAGCACTTACATTTAATGTTACAGTGTGTTAGGGACTTTTCAGTATGAATTCATTATATAGCTAAACAGTCATGTAAAGGCACACAACCAGAGTTTCTGAACACATTCCTATAGTTTGCTTTATCTTTGTTTTGCTCCAATACCTTGCTTTATCTAAGACTGTACTGCTGTTTTTCAATAAAAAGCAAACATAGTGTATGTAGTTATATTTTTCTACTTAACTACATCTTTTTTAGACCAGAAAAATATTAAACAGGTTTTAACTTTATTAGAGTGCCTGCTATAGAATCAGAAAATACAACTGATACTCAAAGCACTTTAGGACATACTGGAACTGTGTTGCTTCTGATGGTGAAAAAAAGGATGGTATTTGGTGTTTCATCTTTATCAAATTAAGCCCAATTAAGTAGATATTCTTTATTATTTTCATTCAGTTTTATTTCCTGCTGTCATATTGTTGTCCTACCAGAAGAGCTCGGCCTTTTGTTTCTATAGGCAGGAGTAAAGCACCAACTGAGCACAGGAAACTGGTCACCGCAAATGGAACCAGAGCTGTTATCACAGATTTGGACATTAAGACCTGAAAGACAGAAATGTGTAAATGTACAACATCTTTTGTTTCTGTCCCCAGCTCTTTAAAGGACATCAAAAACAGGTTTTAAATGGGTTCAGCAGTTGAAAATATAAAGCCTATGTGGCAAATTTACACATAGGCTTTATGTATTGCTGTATATGTATTGCAGCATTGCTCAAAATACTGTATTTACTCTGTTTTCAATCATGCTCCATCCAGAAGTAAAGATTATGTTGACCCCTAAAACAAGGGACAAATTAAATTGTATATTATAAAACATTAAACACATAAAAAACCTCCCCCACATGGCTTTTAACTAATGACAAACATGCATTAAAGAAAATATTTTTGATAAAAACTTCACTGTCATTGTTATTTGAGTAGTGGACTCCTCACAAGTAAATGAAGTAACATTATAGAAAGAGCAAAACCATGACTGACAGGGCATCACTACATGTTTGCAATAAAGGCAAGCAAAATGAACACTGGTATACAGTAAGTGGAATTAGACTTTGTAGGTTAAGGAATTTTGGAACAGCACAGCAAAAATAAAAAATAAGGTACACAACAGTATTCTACCTAGCTCATAATCATTTTCTGCATTCTTTAACTTGGTAACCTTCTGTGGTTATTTTAGAAATGTTTTAACATACTCGTTTTAAATAAATTTCTTATGAACAATTGCAAGATTCTAATTAAACACAATAACAGCACATACTTGAACGAACAAAATTAGTACTTATAAACGTATAAAATGTTTCTGATTTATAATAGGCTGTTTTTTACTGTGTTTCTCATTTTTCACTGAATCCATCTCCAACCTTTCCAGCTCCCCCTTGGTCACTTTTTACTGAGAAACAGATCTTATCTTATTTTAATTCATGTACTGTATGTTTCCATTCTGCATTTTTATTCATATTGTTATATTTCAGAAGACTTCTGGTTCATTTTCTTTCACTTACTCTACAAGATGTTATAACATCTGCAGTTTTAATTTTAGCTTTAGATATCTGCTAACTTTGTAAGCAACTGTGAGTTAGTTTCAATCTACAGGCTCTTGCACCTGTACTTGTGTTCTATGTCACCAAATTATAACTTCAGGACAGCAGATTCGATTCTGTGTTTTCTCAAATCTGATTATTTTTTTCAGTTTTGGAAAATTAATACATTACATGTGTAATGCTTTTTTAACTATGGGAAACCTTTTAAGTCAAGAACATGTAATGTTTAAGTAACGCAGTGACACATAATTGTTTCTTATTTATAATTTTCTTTGACACATTAAAAAATATCACATGTCCAGCACTAACTCTGGCATGGATGTGTGAGTTTTTTTTATATTCATCTCAGTCCCATTCTGAAATGTACCCTTTAACTTACCTGCAGATGTGCTTATCTCCGTGTCAGTTCCCAGTGTACAATAATTTAGTGTGTTTACTAATTTATAAACCACTCACCACATTTGCCAAAAATGTGAAAATACTTTGTAGCTAATCCTGTTCTTCAAGTCTAAACTGTGTATTAAATCTGCAAATGTAACGTGCTCAAGGACATGATGGTGAGGTAAATTATAAATCTACAGTACATACGTCTACTAGAGCATAACCTGTCTCACTGAATCCATCTCCACCCTTGCAGCTGCCCCTTGGTCACTTTTCACTCTGCAGGGGTCCCACCCTCCTCATCCCCAAATGGGGGAAGGGAGGTGGGGAGAGGGATTCCAAGGGGATGCAAACGCATTTTTGGTCTTCATTTGTTTTTAAATACAGTATGGGTGATTCTATAATTGTGGTTTCTTATGTTGCAGAGTATTTATGCTATTAAATAGGAACAAAATGTTGGAAAACCAGAATGCCATTACAAAATGTCCATTGAAATTATGTTTTTTTACTACACATGTAATATATTATACTGATATTATTCATGTAATTCATGTGATATAAATTACCAATGTAGTAAATAATATGTCTTATATATCAAATGTGCAATTTTTGAATTATTTTGAAAAAGCTAATTAAAAATATTATGGACAAAATATGTATTTTGGTCCCCCAGAATCCCCCCAAAACATAAGAATTGTTTATTCCAGAAATGTGATCTCCTGAATATGATATCATCTAATGGGAAGAAGAAAGAAAGCAGGCCTGTAGTCTTTGATGTTTGACATTTTGGTAAGACAGTATATACAGTGCAGTCCGTAAGTATTTGGACGGTGACACAATTTTTGTTGTTTTGGCTCTGTACTCCAGCACATTGGATTTGAAATGAAACAATTACAATGAGGCAGAAAGTGCAGAAAGTCAGCTTTAATTTAACATTTGGTGAACCATATACAGATGCAGCCATTCAAAATGGGTGAGGTATTTCGCGGCATACCGCGACACGCCCACCGGGGTATCACACAGTTCACGTGTGTCACGTGACTAACTATCCGGCATCGCCTTGTAAAACCGCCAGG